GCGTTGTCATTGACGTCGGAGACCAGCACCCTGATGGTGTGCTCGGTTTTTAACCTCGGTGACCCCAAGTCGGTGACAGTGATGGTGATGTTGTACTCGGCGTTTGTCTCTCTGTCTAAGGCTGTCTTGGTTACCAACGTGTAAAAGTTCTGGATGGAAGGTTTCAGGAGAAAGGGAAGGTCGTCTGGGATAGAAGATGCAGTCTTCCCGTTGTTCCCGGAGTCAGGATCCCAAACACTGAAAACAGCAACTACAGTGTCCGGTGCGTTCTCTGGGACGGGGCTGGTGAGTGCGGACAGGGTCACTTCTGGGGCATTGTCATTCACATCCACCACCTGCAGGAGAAGAGTGCATTTTCCTGAAAGCCCTCCCCCATCTGTGGCCACGATGTCCACTTCATAAGACAGAACTGTTTCATAATCTACTTGGGCTGTCAGTCGAATTTCTCCGGTGATAGGATGAACCTCTAAAATTTTGCTAATTTCTTCCGAAGGCTGAAAGAGTGTGTATGATATTTTCCCATTGATTCCGATGTCTAAATCACTGGCCGAGAGGACAACCACCAGGGAGCCTATGGGGCTGTCCTCGGGAATCCGCACCTGGTAGAGAGCCTGCTTAAACTCAGGGGCATTGTCGTTTATGTCCACCACTTCGATGCGGACCTGGGAAGTCCCAGATCTGGGCGGAGAGCCGCCATCCAGCGCCACAAGGGTTAATCTGAGTTCAGACTCCGCCTCCCGATCCAGCTCTTTGTCAAGCACCAGCTCAGGGTATTTCCTGCCGTCGCTGAGCTTGCTGGTTAGGACCCGGAAATGAGGATTGGGACTGATTTTGTATGTCTGAACACTGTTGTTGCCTACATCCAAGTCCAGAGCATTCTTCAGAGGGAAGGAAGTCCCTGGAGGGCTGTTTTCCAGTACTTTTAGAATCATTTCTCTTTCAGGGAATACGGGAGAATGGTCATTGATGTCTCTCACCCTCAGTTCAGCCTGAACTATCTCGAAGGGGTTTTCCATGAACACTTGGAAATGTAGCACACACGGTTCAGTGGGGCCGCAGAGCGCCTCTCGATCTAGTTTATCATTTATGATCAAATCCCCAGTCCGCACCTTCAGCTGCAAGTGCTCTTTGTTCCCCTGGGAAATAATCCTGGCCCCTCGCATAGACAGCTCCGTGGGTTCCATCCCCAGCTCTTTCCCCAGGTTTACCACAAAAGACCCTCTCTCCATTTCTTCTACCATCGAATACGGCCCCAACGCGGCGCCTGCCCTAGACAACCCGAGCAAAACAAAGAAAATTAGGACTTGCCTTTGTCTTCCATTATGCATCCATCCCATCTCCATTGCTCTTTTTCTGCAAATTTGCTTCACCGAAGCTTCTGCAGTGCGAATGCTACACTGTGCCGCTAACTAGCTTTGTAAGGAGGTCCAACAACCGCTTTTACTCCAGTCCGGAAAGCCGTTCTTTTGCTTTAGGGGAGGGAGTTTGGCTGCGTTCTTGGGCTGCGTAGGCGATTCTGTTTTCCATCATCTTAACCTGCAGCGCCACCATGTGTTCTTACTATGTATTATATTTTCTGGTTTAACGCTGAAGGTAACCTTCCCCTAAATGTACTGAGTAGGAGATATGAAAGATATTCAGTCATACAAAACATCGAGTTTTATCTGCACGTCGTGTGTACGTGTTTAGATAGAGCTCGATGTGGCTGTCAAGGGAGCGACACCAAAACAATCCATCTCTCATATTTCCTGACCACTTAATGCTGCGGAGGAGTTAGTGATGAAATCAAATCACAGGAGCTGGGGGAACTATAGGGACAACATATTTCTGAAGTAATGACAACAGTTTCACAAGCACACATTTTTTTCAGGGAACGTACTATCGAATTGCGCATGCGTGGACACTATAAATTTGTAACCCATGGCAGTTCGGGAGGCAGTGCTTGATCAATGTCCCTTTAGATTAAGCTAATTACTTCATCTTCTTTCTACCACGTTAGGCTAAGAACTATAAGTTTTCTCTAAGCATTGATTAAATGTTTCCAAAGTTGGTACATCCCAGGATTGAGCCACCATACTGTCAGCTCTTTGTTATTGTGGTTGCGGCATATCCATATTTTGAACCGAATTGTGGTAAAGATCTGGTATTTTTACTAAGTGATTGTTTTATTATTAATGTGTAGAAAGCGGTTAATTACTTTGTCTGGGGTTAAAGCCTGGTGGTCCTGGTGAGTAGGTGTTGGACGGCTAGCCACAGGGCTGGTGGTTCCAACCCACAAGCTGCTCATTTGCAGAAGATGAAGCTATGTGCTGCCAGAAAGACTGACAGCCCAGGAAACCCTAATCAGGGTCACTATGAGTCAGAATTGACAGCATGGAGGTGGCTATGGATTTCAAGTTGGGGTGAAAGCACCCAATCAATGGGTATGAATTCCCTGCCATGAAAACCTTCATGTGCCCCCTTTGACCACAGGAGAAACTAATAGACGGGATGACTGTCTTTCAATCATCCAACCTGTGGTAGGCCTTCCAAAGATGTCCTCATCCTAATTTGGGAGGACCTGTGAATATATACACCTACATAACAAAATGAAAATGGCAGAATAAGTTAAAGACCTTGAGATGTGAAAATTATGTCAAATAATCTCAGTGGATTTAATTAACCACATGGGACCAACAAAGTGGTGAATTTTGACCCTGGAAGAATTTCCAGAGAGATACCATGTTGCTGACTTTCAAGATGGAGTGAGGAGGCCACAGGCGGTGGAACGTCTGCAGCTTCTAGATTCTAGAAGCTAGAAGCTGGAAACAGCAAAGAAATTAGGGTTCCTCCTAGAACCCTTCAAAAGGAAAGAATCCCTATGGACAGTTGATTCTAGCTCTGTCAGGCTTCTGAGAAGTGTAACCATATGCTAATCATTTCTTAAGGTTTTAAGCTTTTACATTTGGAGTACATTTTTACATCAGCAATGGAAAGTTAACCCCTAATTGAAGCATGGATTCTCTTGCTCCCACACTTGAGTTAATAAAAGCCCAACAATTCTACAGGAACAGTATTAGAGAAAATGCAGAAGGCTATCTGATTCAGCCGTAATTATTGGGCCTCTCAGATGAAAGTCACTTAAATAATCAACATACATATTTTCAAATCATGATTTTTGTTGTTTGAAATGAACTTGTTACTGAAAGAATCCAAGTCCACTTCAGTGTTACTTTTCCTCCTTTTGTAGCCACTCAGACCAATGTTTAGACCTGAGGGGGTAAAATATTTGGAGGGTTTTTAAGGCTGTGAGTCTTTACTCTTTAAAAAATTTTTAAAACATTTTTATTTGTTGCTTGGGATTTCTAAAGAAAAACATTCTGTGTAGCTGCATAGCTCACTTCATCAAATCAAATCAGTAGTAGTGTCTTGTTAAATCCCCCATAATGGGTCCTTTTTATCCCCTCCCTCCCCTCTGCCTGCCCTTACCCCTTTCCCAGCTTCCTCCTCAGTCCTCAAAGTCTTAACCCTCGGTGTGAAAACTACTTTTCTTTTTGTTTTTCCTTATAATAATGGTATCATTGAATATTTATCTTTATAAGACTGACGAACTTGGCTACACATAATGTTTCATCCATGTCATGTGGTGTTCCACAGAGTCCTCCGGGCTTTTCCTTGATGCATAGTAGCCCATAAGATGAACATACCAGCGTTTCTTTATAGTTTCCTCTATAACTGGATTTTTATTGTTTCCATCTTTTTGCTATTATGGAAATTGCAGCAATAAACATAGGTGTTCATGTATCTGTTCGTGTGTTCTTTGTTTCTTTAAGATATAGCCCCAGTAGAGGGATTGCAGGATCATACGGGAGGGAGTTGCAGGATTAAGGAAGCGCTGTCCTGATGTCTGTAGTGGTTGTACAATTCTCCAGGACCACCAGCAATGGATGACCATTCCTATCTCTCCACATCTACTTCAGCATTGATTATTTTCTCTTTATTTAATTTTGCTGACTGTTGGTGTGAGGTGGTATCTCATTGTTGTTTTAATCTGTACTTCTCTTATTGCCAATGAACATGAACATTTCTTCATATAATTGTTGGCCGCTTGAATGTCATCTTTAGTAAATTGTCTATTCATTGCTTGTGTCCATTTTTATTGAGTTATTTATATTTTTCTTATTAAGATGTTGTAGTTTTCTATATATTTTTGAAATTAGCCTTTTATCTGGTGTGTCATTATTTTTCCCACTCTATGGCTCTATCTTAAACTCTTTTGATGAGGTATTTTGACATGCTTAAGTGTCATATTTTTAGAAGGACTTGGGCCTTTATTTTGTCTTCTACTGTATGAATATTTTTCACCATGTTCAGTAGTTTACTTACGCCTTGATTAGAACCTTTAAGTTGTCTCTATTTTTTGTTAATGATCTTTGTTGCTCTAGAGTTTATATTTAAGCTTTGTTTTCACCATCTTGAGTTCATTTTTGGACAAAATGGGAGGTTTGGGTCCTGTTTCATTCTTTTGCAGGTGGAAATCGTTTTGCCACCACTGTTCATCGAAAAATCTATCTCCTCCTCCACTTAATGTGTTTTAAACCTGTATTAAAAATCAGATATCTATAGATAATTGGTGGTATTTCTGTGTTCCCAATTCTAATCCATTGGTCTTCATGTCTATTGTTGTATCAATACCAAGCTATTTTGATTACCAGGGCTATGTAATAGGTTTTAAAGTTTGGAGTGAAAAGCCTATTTTTAAAATAGTGTTTTATGTATCCTGGGTTTCTTTCTTTTCTACATGAAGTTGATGATTATGTTTTTCATTTCTTTGAAGAATTATGCTAGGATTTAGATCTGATTGCATTGAAGTTGTAATGCGTTTTGGGTAATATTGAAATTTTCACTATATTTAGTCAGCCTAACCAGGAGAGTGATAGATCCTATTTGTATACATCTCTTTTGGTTTCCTGTAGAAGTGTGTTGAAGTTTTCTTTGTATGATTCTTTTTTGTTTCTCTGACATTGTTATTAGGTGCATTGAGTCAGTTCCAACCCATAACTACCCTAAGCACAACGGACCCAAAACTCTGTGAGGTCCTGCGCCATCCTCACAACTGTTCCTATACTCGCGCTCATTGTTGCAGATACCGTGTCGATCCATCTTGCTGCGGACCTTCCTCTTTTTTGCTGTCCCTCTACTTTACCGAGCATGATGTCCTACTCCGGGCACTGTTCTCTCCTGACAACTTGTCCAAAGTGCATGAAGTCTTGCCATCTGTGCTTCTATGGAGCACTCTGGCCGTACTTCCTCTAAGGCAGATTTGTTTGTTCTTTTGGCAGGCCGTGGTACTTTTAATATTCTTTGCTAGCACCACAATTTAAACTCATGGATTCTTCTTCAGTCTTCCTTCTTGGTGGCCAACTTTCACATGCTTTTGAGGCCACTGAGAAGACCATGGCTTGGGTCAGGCACGCCTTAGTCCTCAAAGTAAACTCCCTGCTTTTCAAGCTACTAAAGAAGTCTTATGCAGCAGATTTACCCAAAGCCATGTGTCATTTGAGATCTTGACTATTGCTTCCTTGAGCACTGATTGTGCAGCCAAACGAGACGAAATCCTTGTTTCTCTGGTAAGATTTATTCCTAAATTTTTTCTCTTTCAGGTAGTTATTGTAGGTGATATTGTCCTTTTAATATTCCTTCCATGTGCGGAGTGGGGACCCAAAGCCCATCTGTAGATAACTGGACATCCCCTTACAGAAGGGTCATGGGGAGGAGAGGAGCCATTCAGGATGCAATGTAGCAATGATGAAACACACAACTTTCCTCTAGTTCTTAAATGCTTCCTCCCCACCCACTACCATGATCCCAATTCTACCTTACAAATCTGGCTAGACCAGAGGATGTACACTGGTACAGATAGGAACAGGAAACAGGGAATCCAGGACAGATGAACCCTTCAGGACCAGTGGTGAGAGTGGCGATACCAGGAGGGTACAGAGAGTGGAAAGGGGGAACCAATTACAAGGATATACATATAACCCCCTCCCTGAGGGATGGACAACAGAAAACTGGGTGAAGGGAGACGTCGGACAGTGGAAGACATGACAAAATAATAATTTATAAATTATCAAGGTTTCATGTGGGAGGGGGAGGGGGAATGAGGGGGAAAACGAAGATCTGATACCAAGGGCTTAAGTAGAAAGAAAATGTCTTGAGAATGATGGCAACACATGTACAAAGGTACTTGACACAATGTATGGATGTATGGATTGTGATGAGTTGTATGAGGCCCGAATAAAATGATTAAAAAAAAGAAACTAAAAACAATTTCTCTGTGTCATCTTGTTTAATATAAAAGAATACAATTCATTTCTGTGTGTTGACCTTATAGCCTGCTACATTGATACATTTTTCAATTAGTTCAATTGGTTCCACAAATTTCTTAATTGGTTTTCTATATATATAGGATTATATCATCTGTAAATAGTTTTGTTTCTTCTGTGCCAATGTGAATGCTTTCAATATTTTTTGTGTCTTTAGCTCCAGTTAAGACTTCCAAGACTATATGAAATAATAGTGGTGACAAAGCAACCCTGTCTGTTTCCCTAATCATAATATTTTAAGAGGAGCTCCAAAGATATGTGACTCATTTTAACAGAACATGATTGGAGCCCATTAACTTTTTCCTACTAAATTTTAAGAATCTTTAAGTTACTTAGTGATAAAATTCTTCCAAAACATTGCCCATACAGATTTTATGAACCAAGTCATTATATTTCAGTTAATAATGACTGGTTTCAAACAAAGGGAATGTTAAAATGAATATCCCCAAATCCACTGCCATTGAGTTGATTCCAACTCATTGTGATCTTATATAGGTTTTCCAAGGCTGGGAATCTTTACAGAAGCAGATACCCCTCATTTTCTCCTGAAGAGTACTTCATGGGTTTAAACTGCCAACTTGTAGTTAGCAGTCCAATGCTTAGCCAGCAGCACCACCAGGACTCCTCAGATGTGAATGGGATGATACTGCTAACCTCCTTATGGTTATGCAGAGGAGTAAAAAGGTAATGCACGGAAAGCACACTGGACAACATTTTTGATAGAATTAGAATAAAAGATCAGGCCTATCAAACTGTACACTTCAGAACTGTATCTTTATCTATCTATGTATACACACACATAAATTTACTGTGGGAAAAACCCTAGTATTAGATTCCACGGAAAGTTATCAGAAAAGATAATAAAATCATGGTGACTTACATGAGATATAACTTTCCTTCTTTCTTAAGTAAAAATGTGATGACTCCATGATCCTCGGGGTCACCTTTTCCCTTTAAGTTTCTTCTACAAGATCTTAGTCCATTGTTTATGCCACCAAGGGTACTGTTTGTGCATCAGCCATGACTTTTATGTTTCAGGCCACAAAGAACAGTTGTTATCCTTGTTAAGTACCATTGAGTTTATTCTGAATCATCGTGGAACTTTGCACAACAGTAGGAAACATTATCTGGTCCTGTGTTGTCCTCACAATTGCTTTGTTTGAGCCCATTGTTGCACATGTATTTCTCCAGGGAATGATCTCTCCTATACCATGTCTAAAGCACATGAGCCCAAATCTCACCATCTTTGTTTCCAAGAAGTATGACAGTTGCAGTTGTACTTCTTCAAAGACAGATTTGTTCATTCCCCTGACAGTTCCTGGTATGTTTAATACTTTTTGTGACGACTGTAATTTAAATGCATCAATTAGAGGAGGGGGAGGCAGAAGAAATAGGTGAAGGAGAAGAAGAAAGTAACCCCCATTCCCTTCCTTGATCAGCCGCCTCCCTTGAAGCAGACTTAGTTGGAAGTCTCCTGCACTAACATTTCTTCATGCATCTCATGGAGGCATCCTAATCACATAGCCAATCCTGGTATTCAAGGAGGCTGAGGAAATACACTCTTGTTCCTATAAATGTCCAAAATGAAATTTGAGATCGGTCAGTAAACAAATAAAATGACTGGCTGTTGAGTGACTACTGTACTTTCTGTCAGTAAAGATGTACTTAATGTTTCTTAAAAATAGAAAAAGTTTGGATTGGGATAACAGTTGTATGAGCCCCTAATAAAATGTTAAAAAAGAAAAAAGAAAAAAAATAGAAAAAGTTTGTTGCACTAACCGGCTATTTAATCTCACATAATAAGCACAGTGAGCTATTTAATCTCACATAAGCCATTTTTCCTCTTTAAAACAAATGAAAGTAAATGAAAATAATTTAAAAGTTGCATCAAGCCCAACATGGGTATATAATTGATACAAAAAGGATATACAACTAGCACATTTTAGGATAATAAGACAAAACTAATTCAGAGAAATTTATGGTAGGTTGGCATTGTAAAGCAAGAGGCAGACATTGTCTCTTCCATCCTTCCCTATTAGGCGTGCTCTCCTGTAAATGTTAATGCAAATTACTGCCTTCTATGTTCCCGATGGTTTACAACTAAAGATTTCAAAGTTTACATGAAGACCAAACTTTTGCGGGGTTATTTTTTCCTAATCCATTCACTAGTTATTCCCGAAAAGAGTTTGAGTTAGTATGGACTTTATTCATGTTCCAAGGGGCAAGATTTAGGACCATTAATCTTATTATACTCATGAAGAAAAGATAATACACAATCTTACAGATATGGATAACATAAGAAATCTTGCAAGTAAGTTTAGTGCTATTTCAAATACATAGTAGACTCCACCCAAACTGATTAATTCACCACGAAAATGTTAAAACATGAAATGTGGAAAATAATTGTTGTCAATGAATACTGAAACCAAAATCATTCCTAAAGTTGGAGCTTTCTTCTATTTCTGCCACAGAAGAATTATTCTGAAAATTGGGCAATATAGGCTTCAGGAACTTGAACTCATTAGTGCCTGAGCCTTCTGTCAGACACACCTCATACTGGTAGCTATGAGACATGGTGCCTGTGCCACTCACGCCAACGAAGTGGCCC